TTTCTATGGATTGGCACAAACTACTCACGAATTGTCCATCAGCCCTCGATTCCACTGCCGTGATTTTTTTGATAATAATAAGCCTCTATGATTGAAATACGCTCTTTGGAAAAAATATTTTTTCTAAAGGCCAACATTTGGTAAATTTTCAACTTTTTAGCCAGAGTGTAAAGTGCAACAGACGTTGAACTACGATAGAGATGATTGAGACGAGTCCGGAGTCATTGAGGGACTGAAACAAGCGCAAATCAGAAATCAATATCGATCCATTCGGGGGGGGGGGGGATAAAGATATTGATTTTTCTGCAAGTCAAACGCAAAAAACATACTTTTTAGCAAAAGACACACAGTTTCAAGGAAGCATGCATATAAACATTGCAGATATACTTGGAGATAACTTAAATCTTATCATACCCATCAGAAAGTAGAATTTAATTATTCTCTCAAAAAAAATTCAACAATAATTAAAAGTGAGCTTAAAACAAGATTTTATCCACTTTCCTCTATTTAATTACAGTATCAAGACATCATTAATCATCGTAATTTTCGAATTGTTTACCTTGACTAAACTTGTTCATGCCTCAATGGTCACGATAAAATTGTAGACGCAATTTCGAAAATAGAGGGTCTTTCTGATTGATTTTTGGTCAGATCATCGCCCGGGCATTTTGAAACCCACTGAACGGTATTTAGTGCCAATAAAGAACATTCAATCACTTCGGGTACGATCAAAGAGCTTAATTAATGTTCAAGATGTCATAGATACAGATCAAAATAGTGGCATCGTATCAAAGAGATAATTATTTAATTTACTTCCTTTTTAGCATTATCCACCGTGAACACACTGGTCCAATGTAAGAAAGGCATATTGGTGTAAGCATTGAGATAGATATAGTCAAGCCATTGTGTCTGGAATCCTGTGTGTTCCACGCTAAGATGCATTTTCATTTTTTGTAGTTCTCAACGAAGAGGCCAAATTCGGTCACCGACATTTAAATTGTAATCCCACTTCATATTGTTTCAATGTGATTCGAACGGTGTGGAGTATACATTGATTCTTATTGCTTCAGATAAGTAGTCTCTCTGATAAATGGATAAATAAGGAGATTAAAAAGGAAAAAAAAACATTGTAAAACCGTATGTAATCAGGTTTCTCCATATGCAGAAATTCACTTGAAACATTTCAGATTTTCCAGACGCTAATTAATCACCTCTTGAGAGATAACGAAGTAAGTATTCGGTGGTATCCGATGAGGATTATACCTTGAAGGAAACGATATTTAATATAAAAATGTATATATTTAATATAAGTAAAAAAATTAAATATGATAACAATGTTCTTTATAATATGTTAAAATTATTTTAATGCATTAATAGTAATCATTAAATATAAATTCAAACAATAGTTACTTTCATTGACGTTATAGTCGACGAAGTGGGACTATGTGGAGACTTGCTTATCGCATTCTGGTTCATCACTAAACACGATCGTCAATTTTACGGACGGTTTCTACAACCATCTGTGTCGTCTTATTGGTTCTAGTGAACAGCATCATCAACAGGCCTTCCTAATCCGAAATATCAACTGTAATTCCGAGGTTTCGCAGATGAAGCGTCTTAATCCAAACTCTGAGACAGCTTCAACTCTCCAACTCTACGTGGTCCAAATGCTTTTCCATCAACCTCAAAGCACCAACCAACAGATTAACCAACTTCTTCGACGTCAAGTCAATCTCCTCTCGGTAGTAAATCAAGAATTGCAACGATATTCCGCGTCAGGCAAAATGCACGGAGTGGAAGATCTCGAATGCACACGTTGCGAGCGTCTTGGAGTGGGAGATGGTGTGGGGAATTCCATGACCTGCAGACGAATGGATCGTAGGTTGAAAGTCAATATGACGCATCATTGGGAAGTCTTCAAAAAGTTCAACCAAGCCATCGCGGCTTGCACTCAACGTCTGGATTCATTAAATAAGGACATTGAAGCCACTAGATATGCAAATATAAAGATTATCAAAACGTTTCAAGGAAGTGTTGGAAGTGATGCCATGGAAACTTCCCCCTCTGCTCATAGGTATGTGCGATTCGATTATTTGCTTCCATGCCAATTCTGCCCGATTCAAAGATCAGGAGTGATAAATTGAAATTTTACTTTTTTGAGGATCATAGTAACCTCTCCCCCCACCCCTCCCCCTCTCTTACTGTTTTACCTGGACTGTTGACCTGGTGAAGAGTGTATTTGAAGCGACCTTGGCAGAAACCTAGCATTTCAAGCTGCACTTCTTCAACTCTATTTCAATGGGCTCTGCCCTCGAAGCCTTCTTCTAAACGACTTCCATCACATTAATAAAAAAAATTTCCACTTATTATCCAATTTATTGACTGGATAAATTTATTTAGTTATATTGGCCTTTCACCTCTATTCTTCGTCCACCAATTTAATGAAATCTTAAATTACTTAAAATGGAAAGGCAGCCTCAAATTCGTCCACTTTATTAAATTACATTTAAGTAATTATAAATCGCAGCTACACTTTTGAATTAGTTACAATCTTATTGCTTCTTTTTCAGCCTATAAATAAGAATAAATGCACATTCAAGATTTTTTCTATAAAATGAACTCACATGAGTTAAATCTAAGCCTCACTATGGAACAAGGTCACTTTAATTCCACCTTTTTCGTTTGGGCGGTATCACATAAAAGGTGTGGAGTGGAGATATGAGAGGCTTTATTGGAGTTTACAGCTATTTTTTTATTATCCTCACACCAACTCCACCCATGCTACCGTCCAGATTATGGCTCATCGATTTCCGATTCCCCTATCGTGTCTCGAAATCACCTTCTTGCCTGGTAGATTACTTCCCGAGAATTCAACGTCGATAGTCTTTGCACTTTTATCAGCCAATTTTTCACTCATGAATTCCAATAAATCTGTTTTTCTTTTTATTTATTTATTTTATTTCAGTCTTAAATAAATTTGTGCATTGCTTACTTTAAATAGTGTTTGGAGTTGGATGTGGGGACCCAAAGGGAGTAGTTTTTTTCAGTTGTACGTTAGCAATAACATTTTTTTCGAAATATTTTTAGTAAAACATAAACACACCCAACCCCCCCCCCTTCCCCCCTCCTGTTTCATTGAATTATTCATAGATTACGCAGTTATAAACGAGCGATAAATAAATATTCCAAGCGGTATATATTAAACGTCCTTTTGAATTTTGACAGATTTGGCGACTTAGTTGCAAGTGAAAAGACGTTTAAAAAACAGCCCAGTTCTATGTGATCTATCGCAGACAACAATGCTTTGCTCAACAGTGCAATGCATACTTGATGAAATTGTTTCAAAGGAAAGACTGCAATATTTCATTCGAGCAACTTCTAAAGGTTTCTCTTATTCGCGCATCGCGCTTTTGCATACTTCTTTATTCTTTGGGAGAATTTTGATTTAATAGGAGAATTGCGCTTCTTTCTTTCTCAATGCAGAGATAGAGAGAGAGAACTAACTCACTGTTGGTAAAATTTGCATGTTTTATTAAAGTTAGTAAATCTTCGGAATTTCTATTGGTTAGTAAAATTCTTCCTAAAGGAGCTTATAAATCATCGAAAGTTGCGTCATTAACATGCATGCATGAAACCGCTTCGTTTTTTTTAATTTTATTGTTGGCATATCATTTACAATCTTTCGGTGTGTTTACATGCTATAAATAATTTATTTATTTAGTTTATCAAATGGCAGGCGTTTTGATAGTTATCATTAGCCCTTTAGTTGACTTCAGGCTTCACAGAGGGGAAGGAACATCAAAGTGAAAAAAGTCGAGAGTGGGGGGGGGGAGGAACAGAAGAGTGTTTCAGAGATGTAGAAGAGACAGGCACAAAGGTAGAGAAAAAGGTAAAATGAAAACTGTGAAAGTAGTCGAATATGACATACAGTGGGGTCACGGTAGTTTGAAGTGAGAAGTCAACTGCCAGTTAATAGGCTATTCCGCGTATGAGTATATGTTGCCCAGGGTGCACCACGAGGAGGTAAGTCTATCGCACACCCTATGCCATAAATAATAGGGCTCTTACTATATAGCTATTTTTAGATTTACCGCTGGGGTGAATAGATATTAATTTTGGCAATTCCTGTCGGATTTGGACTAAAATTATGAAGA